ATAAAAGTTTTTCTTTAATGAGAATACATGCAATAAGACTCAGTTTTAATAATTACATTTGCATGACATATTAAAAAGTGAAGGGCCGGGGATATAGCTTAGGGGTGCATGCCTGCCTGGCAAGTGCAAAATCCTGAGTTTGATTTCCTGTACAAAAAAAAAAAAAAGAGAGAAGAAACAACAAATTTAGGCAGAGTTCTGGTATTTTCCCTCTGTGAGTCCAAACATTTAAATATTTAGTATTATCCAAAGAGTTTATTGAATTTATCTCCTTTTTCAAATAGTAATGTCCTAAGATCATAGGTATGAACACTAAATTTGGTAATTTTCTTTCCTCATTGCAAATCAAGTAAGAAAAGAGCAGGTAAGAAACCCTAGCTGTACTCCAGTCCAGGAGAACCAGAAAAAGGAAAATAAATTGCTTTTGTTCTAAAAATGAACATCTTTAAGAGACTCAAAGGATTTGATTTCCCTTTAAATCATTGTATATATGAAGCCTATAGTATTTTAATCCTAATTTTATTATCTTTTGTAGACAGGGATTGAAAAGGTGAACGTAAAAATTTACCAGGAAAATAAGCTTGGGGACATAGATTTTCTAAGTCTTTTTCTAAATAATATTACAAATATTTTAGTTACCAGTAAACTCTAATCTTTTTAGGTATTTTAACTTTTATTTCATTATCATAAATACTATTAGTAATCTCTATGAATCATTTAATCTTGTCTCATTACAAAATGGGATTATAAATGTATCTTTTTATTCTATTTCATCTTCTAAAACTTATACTTTAAGAAAATTATTCATTGTAGAAAAAGCATAAAATTTAACCAGAAAAATGAGCATAAAAATACTAAATATAACATTAACATTTGCAAAAACACACACACACACACAGAACATTTGCAGATAATCCTGCTAGATCTATAATAATTCAAATGGAAGCAATTATTAAAGTTTAATGTAGATCATGAATAAGATTCATCATCATACATACGGTATTTAAAAAAGGTTTTCTATATTTTTTTGTTTCTTTTTTGTGCTGTATTACTTATAGTTATTGATTGCTTCCCCTACCACTGCTGGGACATCAGAAATGTTGCATACCAAAAATGTGAAAACTATAAACATATAAGAAAACAGTGAAGCATAAATAGACAATTTAGTGACTCATAATAAGGCAAATATTCATGGAACCTTGGTAACAAATTTGCCATTCTCTCGATTTTCCTTTCAAATTACAATTTCGCTCTTCCACACTTCCCTAAAAATAATCATTCTCCTGTATTTTTATAAATTCATTGCTTTTTAATAGTTTTTTAAATTTATAAATTAAAAAATAATAATTTATAAAATAGTTTATAAAATTATAATTTATAAACATTATATAAATAGAATAATATTGAATGCATTCTTTTGTGACTGGTTTCTTTTACTTTTTTTTTTTGGTGGGGGAAGTACTGAGGATTGAACACAGGGTCTTTGCACTGAGCTGCATCTCCAGCCCTTCTTTTTACATTATTTTTTATTTTAGATAGATTTGTTTCTAAATTGGCCTTGAACTTTCCATCCTTCTGCTTTAGCCTCCCAGAAACCTGGGATTAAAGTTGTGTGTCTCCAAGCCTGACAACTTCATGTTTTTAAGGTTCACCTGGGTTGTTTGATATAGGTCTTCTTTATTCATTTTTATTATTTGATATCTGTTTTGTGAATATAACAAAATCTCCTTATCCATTTTAATATTGATGGACATTGGGTTGTTTCCACTGGTTGACAATTACAAATAATGTTTCTTTTGCTTATTCCTGCCCATGTGTATATATTCCTAGAGTCTCCACTTTGTGCCCTCCATGATTATGAATACTGTACTCTTGTTTTGTTATTTTATCTTTTTTTCCTGAAAGTGTTGTTGGAATAACATGTTTCCTTTTTTCAATAAAACAAATTTATAGTTCTTTCACATTAAAGCCTTTTCTGTTATAATACCCTTTTTCATTCTCTTTAAGATACCTTTTTGTACCTTGAGGTCATTAAAATATCATGTTATAATATTTTTTTCTAAAAGTTACATTTGTTTTCTCTTCTAGTCATTGTAACTTGGCTTTTGACCATTATTTCGCTTAACTTTTTCTTGCGAATGCTGCCAATAAGGACTATAGTTCCGTATTTACAGTTGCTTGCTTGACCTCAGCACTTACACATTTGAAATGTAACACTCCAAAGGCAGCTCTTGACTTCTCAGCTTCCAGAACTGGCTCTCACTTTCCTATTTCATTTGCAGAAGCCCAAACCTGGATTTGGCCCTGCTCTAAACTTTACAGTCAAAAATTATATTTATTTCTTTATATAAATATTTTCTGAATTCATCTTTTTAGCCTTCTTCACTGGTAGCTCCTTAATCCAAGGTGATCCTGTTCTTTCCCTGGATGGCTGCAGGACTATGGATTAGTGTCCCTAGAGCTCTGATACTCTTTGTTTTCCTCTTGCAGGTCTTCCCCTTTAGACTAGCCAAATTAATCTTTAGAAAATGGAAAACTGATCACATGATTTCCCTACCAACTCTTGTCCTCACCTTTGTAATAAAATAGAAACTTATTTATATTGACGATGTTCCTAGTTTTTCAACCTGATCTGCAGTTTCTCCTGCATTGCTCTGACCTTAGAAAAGAAAGTCATCTCTTAACATATCAACCAGTTTTTATTACACCAGTAATTTTTGTCTAAGTTACATGATTGGAGGTAGGTTAAATATACAGGCAGCCATGGATAATATTGCTTGCCATTTGAATTACTTCTTCAATTTTATTCTGTTGCCTTTTTCATTGAAATGGATTGTTACTTACTTCAAATTCTGATTAGTTTAATTTTTTCAAAGATGCTTTTTTTCATGGTTGTGTACCAGATCAAACAAATAAACAAACACATACCCTCATACTCTGAAATTCTTTTTTCTTGGAGAGATCTTGTGTGCAAAAGTATTTGTTTGGCTGGAGGTATAGCTCTGCAGTAGAATGTGCACCTAGCACCCACAAGGCCCTGGGTTCAATCTCCAGTATCACAAAACCAAAAGCTGTAATGATTGGCTTATTATTAGTAGTAGAATATAAACTGAGAAGGAACTTTGGAAAAAATCTGATTTTAAATCCAACCCACTGTAGAAATCTTCCACAATGTTATTGCAGGCGATCATTCTGCTTTTATTAAAAATCTTCCATGATAATGGACTTCTTCCTTTCAAAGTCAACTGCTTCTTATAAAACTGAAGTGCAGGACTATGACTCATTTTCCCAAAAGGGGATATGTCAAGCTGATTGTTTAGAAATGGAAAGGACTGGGTTTTGAGGTTTGGCTTCTGATTATATAGACACATAAAAATATAAAAAGAATAATCTATTTTGGGTCTTTGAATCATTTCATACCTAGTAAATTAGAAAACAAGGAAGTGAATAATGAAAGAGGACCTTAAATGATTTAGATTAGTAATTTGAGGGGTTCATAGATGCCTTTCCCCTAATTACAGGGTAATTACCACAGTCTTAGCAAATTAATGCTCAGAAAGACTCACTTTTGATTTTAATATAAGAGTATTTTTGATCAGTGTTTTAGGATCTTCCTCCATCTTTTTATTTATCCTGTAATAAATTATCACTCATTATCATTTTACTTGTTATACTGCATAATATGCTTGTGATTGCTACCTATTCTGAGCGTCCCATGGGCAGTCTTGTCCTATCTTGGTTTCATTAGTGTCTAATGGACAGCTTAAAGCACAGTAAGGCTCAATAGATTTCCAGCGTGAATGACTGGCATGCAATAAACAAGACTTCCAGTTAGTATAATGAACACTTCAGTTGTTTGCTCTAAGCTTTCTGAGATAAATCTCCTGCATTATTTTGGATGCTATTTTAAACCTAGTTTGAATAGCACATATTCACTCTGTTTTTTTTTTTTTTTTAATTTGGCTTTTTATGTGCCTAACAGGATTTTTCTTGGCATCAATAACTTTCTTCAACTAAATTGGGGTGGTGTAAATTTTCAAGATGATTTTTTTTGACAGCTGAAACTACTTGTAAACCCCCATGTTTCTGTAAATCCAAAGTTACTTTCATGAAATCACTTGGGTAGCAGAAAAGTGGAGCCCCATCAGTATACCAAAAAAGAAGCTCCTAAGTGTTCCTCTGGTTTTCAATATCTTCATAAAAATATACACATTTTGCTCAGTAAGTTTTTATTATTTTCAATAAATAATTGCTCTATCTTCTGTTAAATAAATATTGTCTTTTAAATAGTTTCTACTACACAAGCATAAACATAGCTACGTCTGTGATTATGGGAGGGCCTGTCACACACTCACAGGCACAGACCCGCCCTGGAGGCTTGCTCCGCGTGGCCAATGTGGTGTCCTCCTGGGACACCAGTGGAGTGGGGAGTGTCAAGCTTGACGCTGGCGTCAGTCAGAGCTTGATTATAAGGCGGCAGAAAGGACCAAGCCTTCAGAGTCTGCCTGTCGGTTCTCTCACTGCAGAACCAATTAAATAAATTGTTTTGGATTGTCCGTCAGCAACATAACTTCCACAAATAATCAGGCAAGAAAAGATTGTAAAAGAATTTATTGGAAATAAAGCACACCAATGATTTTTTTCACAAAGTTGGTTATATTTTTAATTTCTTTTCTTTCAAAGTAGGTTGCCTTAATGTAAATCTCATCACAATTTTACAGCAGGAAATGCAAAAGGCTGTCGTTACAATGCCTGGAGTTCTTCCCATAACCTGTTATAGGGTAGCTTTTAGGAGGAAATCCTGACACATAGAGGATCACATGCATAACTAAGCTTTAGCTACACTAGGAGCCATACAACTTCACCAAGATTTATGATTCAGATTACATAGATTGCTGGGCCCTTAAATTTTAACTTAATGGAATTCATCTAACATATACTCTTTGGTGGTGGTGGTGGTGGTGGTGTATATGTGTGTGTGTGTGTGTGTGTGTGTGTGTGTGTGTGAGAGAGAGAGAGAGAGAGAGAGAGAGAGAGAGAGAGAGAGAGAGAGAGAGAGAGATTCTTCTCTTCCCAAGAAGATTTTATTGATATTAAGCTCTTTACACCTTCTTTTTGCAAACCAATTCTTCTCCCTTTTTTCCTATTTAATTTTCAATTCACTACTTAGATTTAGCTATTAAGGGTCCTTCTACTCTCAAAAATAACTGCCAGTGGTGGGAAGTCGCTTCAGGGGAATTCTTCCAGGTGATCCAATCTCTAACTCACTTTTGCTCAGTTGTTAATACTGTACAGTGTAGGTAGAAGGGTACCTGAGACGGTGTGCAGGTGTACGCCCTGAGCTTTTCTCTGGATGAGATACAGTTTCTCTTCTATGTAGGTAAAAGATAGTCTAAAGTAAACTCATCATCAAAACTATAATTCCTTTGGTGAGGGCTAAACTATTTTAATTTCCAAATATCTGAAATTCATCCGAGAGTTCCTATGAGGGCATGTTTTTACAGGATAATTAAGACAGTACAATGATTTCACTTTTTAAACTTTGTGACATAGCCTATAAAATACTGAATAACAGAAATTCTAAATAAGTATCATTTTTCTTGCATCATCCTATACGTTTTAAATGTTATTTTGCCTCTCTTTTTTTCCTCAAGTTTCTACTCTTACCTCACTTATCAGCTTCAATAAGCAACCCTCAGACACCTTCTTCCTACCCTTGAGACTCGCCTAGACAGCTATAGTAGACATTCTCATGGTATCTATCTTTCTTACTAATAGCACATACAGTTATCATAAAGCTGTAAACTCTACAACTAGTTTACCCCTGTCATATGGCCATAGTACTACACAATATTCATGTGCTTCTCCTGAGAAAATATAAAATCTATAGTAATAAAAGATTAAATAATGCTTTATTCTACTGTATTTTGTAACTATGTAAAAATATAACAATTACAGTTTTATTTTTCTGCTGAAAAGAAAAATTTTGGAATTTTAGACGGGTAAACCTGTGTACAGACTTTGCAACAGAGATGCCTTTATTGCACTTAACCACTTTGTGACAGAAACGCATTTATTGCACTAGACCCCCGTTACTTGTCTAATCCAGTCACGGTAGGTTGTCACTCGAGTGTACACTCCTGGCCTATTCGGCACGCCACACTGATAGCCCCAGCTCACTATCCCCACCAGGAACCAGAGCCGCCGTGAGTCTTCCTGGACTAGCGGGCCACCAGAATCTCCCTGAAGGAAACAAAATGATTGATTACTTACATGCAAAGACACACCCCAAATCTTGTTTATTTCTATGATGATGGAAGAAGTCATATCCATTCTAGCCCTAAAGTCAGCCTATTTCCTTTTGAAATAGTATACCAAGTCATGCAAAAAACCAAGGGCTTTACTGAAATCCCTCAGGTATACAAGTTGTCCCTTCAGTGAGTCTGAGAACATGAGAAGCGAGTTGTCTAGACTTCCTCAGTTCCCTCCCCACAGCCTCCTGCCCCCCTCAGCTTTCCCTGGTCCAAGAAAGGTGCTCTCACAGGCTCCTTTCATCCTCACTCTCCCACACCCTGACTTTGGGCTCCATTAGTTTCTCAGTGCACACCCATTTTCTGTGTATAGCTCTAGCACTGCTTCTGCACTGATTCCTACGTGCTGATTTGTACCTCTTTCAGTTTAATCCCACTTGGCAGCTTCTCTTGTCCTAGCAGCTGCACATCTCTGCAATCCTCACAGTGTTTGGATATTTTTTCAGTGTCTATTTTCCCATCTCTTCTACAAAGCCCACTAGGCAACAGAACTTACCTGTTCTGGACACTGCTACAACCCAGGCTTCTAGCCCCTAGGAGATGCTAAAGAAGTATTTGTTCAGTGAATGAGTTTCTAGAATCCTCACCTATCTACCTTAGCGCATTGCATAGTGCCTGCTGCATAGTATTATCTTCAAAAAATACTCTTTTGGTGGGAAGAAATTTACAGGGCAACAAGTAAAACACTTCTTAATTTACCAGCCAATTACAATCAACCAGCAAATATTCCTGCATGTGTTGGTTTAGCTTGGGAGACAAATTCAGATGGTTCTGTGGGTACTGGAGCTAGGTATCCTCGGTTTGAATTCCCCACCTTCCAGCTATATGAACTTCAGTAAGCTATTTAACAGCTGTCTGTGCCTCAACGTCCTTATTGGTGATAATGCTTTCTATGAATTTGATGGGGTTAGCCCACAAAGCGCTCTGAGTACACCTGGCATAAACGCACTACTAATAAAAGCCAGCTCTTATTACCAACTGTGGGTCTAAAAAAGTTAGCTATTCATTCGATGCTCTGAGTGGGGAACTTTTCTATACCTACTTAATCACGGATCTAGACAGGGAGGAGGGTCAATGTGTTCATCGCCAACTCAGCCCGAAGGCCCTGTGGAGGGCTGGCACCTCCCTCCTCCGGATGGTACATGATAGTCAAGGTAACCACCTCCCATTGTTTGCTATCACTGCGCTTCTGTTCCCACTTTTCCTGAACCAACAAAGCGTTCTGCCTGATGTCTGATCAAGAGTGGGAAGCACATGTAGAATAAGGAGGACACACGGCTCTCTTCGTACCTAGCTGTTTCATTCTCTAACTGAAGACGGGGTACTCGAACTTGTGTCCTGTGTTCCAGGCCGTAACCCGGTGAGGCACTGTGGTGAATGTTGCAGAGGGAGTGATTAACACAGTCTTTGAATGAATGAATGCACCCACGAATGAAAGAATTGAAGAAACAAGAGGGCTATTTGTTGTTTTTTTGTTTTTGAGAAACAAACAAAATCAGGGAAGCCTATGGTGGAACACAGGGAAGTTTTTACAATGAGTAATGGCTTGAACTGGGCTCAGAGAAAATCAGAATTTGTATACACAGAAAGTAAGAGGCATCATCTGTGAATAAAGTCTAGCTAACACCTTTTTTATACTTCTTTTTTGGGGAGTATGGGAGATTGAACCCATGGCCTTCCACTGAGCTACGTCTCCAGCCCTTGAATAAGTTTTTTAAAAGTTGAGATAGGATTTCATTAAATTACTAAGGCTGGGCTCTAACTTATGATCCTCCTGCCTCAGCCTTGCAGAATGCTGAGATTACAGGTGTGCAACACCATGTCTGGCTGGGTAACACTGTCAGTCTCAGGTATGTCCTTAAGTCAGTTTTAATCAGTGCTCTTAAGTAGATATGAAATTGTCAGTGTGGAGATGTGCTATTACGTGATTGGTGAATGCTTTGAAAAGCTATCATAGAATCTGTGTTGATGCTCAGGACTAGCAGTAGCAAGAAACTGAAAGGTCACCAAGCATTCCCAACCATAGAGACATCTCCACTTAGAGGGTAAAGGGCAGAGTAGGTAACTAATAGTGTCTTGGAAATTAGGAGACAAATCTCCATCTACACACAATTTATAGTTGATAAAATGTTTCATTTTGGGGGAAGGTGCTCATGAATTGCAATTCTGGCATAAACTGTAAGTACTACCTTACTACACTTAAACACGAAAGTCAGAAACATTTGACGGGAAGAACCATCCTTCTCTTTTGTATACATTTCCCCCAGGGAAGTAGTAGGAGATTCCTGAATAAAACAGGATATTTTAAGGACTGTCTTAACTTCTGACAGCAAATAGCTGTTCTTGTGACTATATGGAGTTGGATTTCTATCACAAGAACATTAAGGTCAAATAATTTTATTGAAAAATTTAATATTAGAATTTTATTCCAATTATGGTACAATGAGAAATACATATGTATTATTTATTTTTGCATATTTTTGCGTAAAAATTATAACCTAGGTTTAAATCATTTCTTTTCTATTTGTGCTATTACACAGTTGTGGGAGTTCTTGAGACTCAAATAGGATTTTGTATAAATTTTCTATCTTCAGTATGCATCAGGACTTATTTCAAAATTTCATTATTATCTGTGGATCTTGAAAAACTAATTATTTTTCATTGTGAGTTGACAATAATTGTATACATTTATAGGGCAGAAAATAGTGCTATGTTTATGAACATAACGTGGGATAATTAAATCAAGATCATTAACATCTTCATGACTTCAAATACCTAACACTTTTTTCCTAGAACAAATATTTCAAATTTACTGTCAGTAATTTTGAAGTATATAACACTATTATTATAACACTACATATTTACCACACTGTGTAAAAGTATTTTATTTAACCCTTCCATCACAGTTAAAAGTCAATATTTTCATGAAAAGTTTGTAAGAAAATTTTATTTCTAAAACTCTGATCATGAGTTTCCAGAGGATCAGGACTATGTGTCTTCACTATTTTCTTTTTGTTCACCACTGTATGGTAAGTCACAGGTGTCCGAGAGCTTTCTGGATGGTAATGAGGAGGAGGTTGTCTTGGGCTTACCTGGCATGCGTCCACTGCACCTGTAAGTAGTCCAGCACATAGCATCCCAGGCAAGATGGCGCCATCATAACTTTCCGGTGAGTTACACACATTAGTACTTATTATTTGGACTTCTCCTTGCCGTAGATATGGGACTGTGCTGCCTATTTAGCATAAAAGCAAAATGTACTTCAGATTATATAAATTAAAAACCACAATAAATTTGAAAAGGAATAAATGCATTCCAGACATCATTCTCTATTTATCAAGGGGGGCATTGAAGATGTCTGTAGGAGTTTCTTTCCAGCCAAAATTTCCCGCAAGAGAGAAGAGTGGATCCTTTAGACAGAGCAGTTTTTCTATCTTTTCCTTTTTTGCATTAGTTTTGTGATATGGTGCCACTTAGAATTTTAGAGAAAACAAATTTGCTGTCTTAAAATTGACTAATAGCTTTTAAATTATCCACTGATTGACCCTGGATTAGAAAATAACATACTGATCAATCTTTAATCTAGCAGTAAAAGACAAATTGGTCTGGTTTCAAGGCTAAAGAACTAATTTATTTTATATTCATGTTCCTTGAAAATACCATTGTTTAAGTTTTCCATGCCTAACACAAACTTTACCTATGACACCAGCTTAATTTAGTCAAAAGTCACAAAGACACATTCTTCAGGGGGCAGTGAGGCTCTCTGCTAGTCACTGGAGAAAGAATTGACAGCAAGGGTGGAAGTCCAGTGATGCTGTCCACACTCTCTTTCTGTTCCCTGGCTGACACATCTGTTTTCTCATGGGGTTTTGTAGCCAGACTCTGGTTCTTCTGTTTACACAGTCTTCACTTAAATTTTAGTTTTATTTATTCAGTAAACAAGTGAGTCATTATTATGTTTATATTATTATGTATTATTATGTATGCTGGCCTGGCAGAAATAATAGTTTTACCCCAGAACACCTTAAAAGGCAACTGATATCCTAGGGTTGTTGAATATTAGCTACTGTCCTTACACGATATTTATTCCTTCTCTCCCTTTTCTTCATAATGAAGCCATCTGAGTCCTGCACAATCTCTGGATTAGTAAAGAACTTGTTTCTTGACATTGTGCTATTACTGTTCTTGAGAATGCTCCACGGGGTTTTTGCTTTACTTTGCTTTGCTTACACTGCTGATGAAATGGAGGGCTAGCCAGTGCTTTGGCTGATCAGGATGTAGGATGATTTTGTCTGTAGAACCTGTCTGTTTTCCAGATGCTTCCTAATTTAAACACACACACACATACACATACACACACACATACACGTACACACACACATATATATATATTTTTAGCAAATAGGAGGAGACTGCATTATTGCTAAATTTTGGCTGTTTTAGTTTTCTGGAGACACTTACCACCATAGGTTAGCGAGCCCCATCCTGTTACGTAAGCAGTGGAACCAGGGGTGACACTCTGGGTGGCTGCGGGGAGACATACTCGGTGGATATCTCGGGTGAAGGTGACAGCCCTCTCCAGCTGCACGGCTGCAATGTCATTCTCATGAGTTGCAGGTGTGTAATTATTGTGGATTGAAAGAGTCCTCACTCTCACTCTCAGTCTAGGAGTTCTTGTGGAAACACCAAAGGTGGCCGTCCATTGCTGAGGATTAGGGTAGCTAGAAAGAGTACAAAAATATGCTTGAAGATGGAACTTGCAAGCACTTCAAACATTTGGATTTTGTATTTGCCAAAACACCCACCCCCAATCTGGGAGCTACTTGACTGTCATCTCTTCCCTATGTATTTTTGCATTATAAGCTAGTAAATATGCACAACTTACTAGTAGAATGAATGGTCATTTGTCTAAAGAAACACAGAAAGATTTTAGCAACAATGTCTTGGCATTTTCTATTCAAATAAGGAAGTTCTAACACTTTGACGGCTAGCATACACAAATCTCCGCTTTGATCTCTCCCTATTTTACACTCTCCTATTCAAGAAACTTATAAATTTTGATACAGTGATTATTTTAACTTTAACTCATTCTTTTCAATCCTAGTTTTCCCTCTTTTGCTTTGAGAAAGTAGCTTCATTTAAATAATTGTGATAAGGAGCATCCTTGTTTTATGAATGCAGGAATGATTTTTCTGTGCTAAGAGTTATGTCATAAATATGTACATATGCTCTGTGTACATGTGTGTACATATGCATATGTATACCTACATATATATGCTGAGAGATAGAAAAAGCACTAACACAATAAATATACAAAATTCAAAATTTAACATTGTGACCTAAGAATTAGAGCTTTTTAGCTAAACTTTCAAAACATATACCATAAGGTAAAAAACAGATGGATTTCATTAAGTGACACTTAAACATACCATGAACAAGTTTAACATATGGGTTAGAAGCCATGAGAAAGTATTCAGAATGTTTAATATTTAGAATTTAGTAGAATATACCAACAAAGTGTGTAAGCCTGCAATAAATGGACAGAAAACCATTATAAAATGGGCAAAGAATATTAATAAACAATTCATGGAAAGGAAGCTATAACAATTTCTAGATATATGAAAAGATACTCAAACTTGCCAGTAATCAAGAAATAGAAATTATAATGGTGAGCATCTATTGTTTATTAATAAGAAAGTGGAAATGAAATGAGAAGCCTAATATTATGAGTTCATAAGGAGAGAAATTAGAACTCGTTGCATTGCTGGTGAAGATGTAAGCGTTTGGAAAGCACTTCGGTACCTTCATCGGACTGTATACTCACAGGTATGTACCGCAGAGAAACTCCTGTGGGTTTATGGAAGGGCACTGCTGTTTGTATGTGCAGCATCCCTAAAGGCTCACGTGCCTCCAAAGCAGCCGTGTGCTGAGGTGGGGATTTGGGGAAATGGTTTTGTCATGAGGGCTCTGATTTCATCAACAGATTAATCTATTGGTGGGTTTATAATATGATGGGATATTGGGAGGAAGTAGGATTTGGATGAAGGGAATGGGTCCTTGGGGCATCCCTTGGGCACATCTTGTTGCTTTTTCTCCTCTCCCCTTTTCTCCTCTCTCTCTCTGTCTTTCTCTCTGTCTGTCTCTCTATATCTCTCTCAGCTGTCAACAAGTGAACAGCCCTGCTCCCTGCCATACTGCTGTGCATTACCACAGTGCAAAATCAACAGAGCCAAGCAGCTGGAAGGAAACACCTGAACTATGAGGCAAAATAAATCCTTTTTCCTCTAACTTGATTTTTCTCAGGTAATTTGTCACAGTGACAAAATACTGACATAGAACTATGAAGATCTCGTTTGTGTGTGAGCTCCTTGTGGAAGTGGGAATGAAGAGCAACCTAGCTGGATGAAGAAAGTGCAATGGTTGCTGCTACAGGTTCTGTGCAGCAATGGAACAGATGAAAATTCCAAGGACTGAATGAAAACAGAAACAATCTGAGACCATAAACAGTTTTGCCTTCAGAAGTTAAAAGTATACAAAAACACACACCAAAAAACCTCTTTAGGCTTTGCAGGTACATGCATTCTTTTCTTCCTTTTGCCCTTCTATAGAATAAACTCAGGGCCTCATGCTTGCGAGGAAAGTGCTCTACCACTAAGTTATATCCCCATCCCTAAGGTACATGTATATTTAAAGGCTGATTTCAAATATAGTTATATGGAGCTTTGGAGATGAGGAGGACCAGGAATGACAGGAGAGAAGTCCTTGAATACTGATGGAAAAGATCAATGACTGGGAAGGCTGGTTAACTTAATATTTCTTCTACAATTAATAAAAGCAAAATGTAAGCCAATAATAATTTAAGATTCCTGTGGAGTATAGATAGTGGAATTAATACAAAAATAATGATCATATATTTAAGAAGTGCTTTTATAAAGTACAGTAACAAATGTAAGGGTGAATGTTAGCTAAAAATTATGAAGAAAAAAGATTTTTAAAAAGTAGACAAATCTATGATTGTTCTTATATTCAACTTCTTTTGTTCAGTGTTTCTACTGGGGAGATTTTAAAGAGGTTCTTCTTCTACTCCTTCCCTCTCTCTGATTCTTCCCTCTGTGTCTTTTCTTCCAGCAAGTGAATGAGCATGGGTTCGGAAAGAGTTCTGCTTGTATTTAAATCTTGGCTGTGGCATACCTCACAGTCCTGCCTCACTGCCCTTTGCTGCCGACCAGAGTTTGTGCCCCCGGTTGGGTGCTGCTCGTCTCAAGTTGACACTGTGTATCAGCCATTAAAGTGCTAAGTCACAAGTTGCCCAGGCCCAGCTTAGACTCCTGATCCTCTGGCCTCCGCTTTGCATAGTGTTGGGATGGGAGGAAGGTATCACCATTCCTGGATCACTTGAAATTCTGTGTGTGTGTGTGTGTGTGTGTGTGTGTGTGTGTGTGTGAATTGGGCATTGACCCTAGGGCCTTGTGCAACTTGCTAAAGTGCTCAGGCTGACCTCAAAATTGATAACTTCTTACCTCAGGCGCGTGCCACTAGGCTGTGGTGTGGAGGACCACCTGGATGACTCTTCTTGAAAGAAGAGCAATGATCTCCATTTAGGCTAAACCTAGCCCCATTTTCATGTATTTATTTGTACAGAGCTGGCTAGGACTTTTCCTTATCCCTTCAATTGGCTTTAAGCGATGAAATCTGTCCCGCAGAGGTGCTGATGGTAGTCTTTGAAGCAACAGGATGGGGCAGTGTTTCTCAGCCCCACAGCTCCTAAATAAAACATGTGTGAGCTGAGGCCGGATGGGAAGCCCTGCTCTGAGCTGTTGGCTGGGATCAAGCCTCAAGATAAGAGGCTATGACTTCCCAGGGCTTAAAAGGGTACACATCAGAGCTGAAGTACTGACCCCAAAACGTTAGATACTGCCTCAATTGTGTCATGCAGATTACTCTTTCTGCATATCCTTCTCTCTCATATTGTAGAGTGATTTCAGGCCTCCTGCCTAGCCCAGCTCGCAGCACTCACTACTTCCGGCCATTCTCACATTCCCTCATCTACAAACCACTCCCTTCTTCATGAATTAATAAAATCCTGGTTTGACCCAGGTCGAGGACTTTGTTCCACTCATCCATCATCATAGCCAGACTTAGGACCTCTTGGCTCGCCACAAGTACAAATATGCCTTAATGTCTTTAATCTTACCATGGATTGCATCTGAAATGGTAAATTGGAATTAACTCACTAGAATTTCAATAACTTTTCCATGAGATACAAACACAAACTTCCTGAACCACGACAGGGACTGGGAAGGGCTTGCTATACCACAGTTTAATGTAGATTTGACAGGTGGGCCCCAGTAGGGCTTAGAATCCAGCCCTATTTTTCTTGCTTCCTTAGTTATGCTAACAGCCTGTTAAATCCAGGCGCTGGGGTTTTCCGTGCCTACACTTGGGTGTGCTTTGAGATCAGTGAGCACTTTTCTTGCTCTTTGGCCTTTCAAGAGTAAAATGAATAAATTTTTTTGTGCATTTTGTTTTGTTGATTATGTTATCTGGGATATAGCAATAGATCTGCTGACCTATATAAAATTGTGTAATTTGGGGAGTATCTTTTGAATAAATCTCAGATTTATTCAGTCTGAATTATAAAATACTATAAGAAGAGCTTAGAATAACTTAAGTTTTCCTAAAATTTTTATTCATAAACTATACTGATTTTATTAAATTTTATGCCCACCTAATTTTATGAACACTCTTGTAAAAAGTACTATATTATAGAACAACCATTGGTGAATTCCTACCATCTTGTCTAGTGAAACTCTGTATCATCTCTAATTCTTTTGTAATAATTATTTTTTTGTTCTCTTTAATGTTTTGAACAATCTTCCATTCTTACATCTGGTAATATGATCAACTTAGTTGAAGATAACAATATGGGATATAGCAAGCACTGTTAATTCTCATCATTTTGTTTTGAAACTCTGTATCATTTTTAATGTTCTTGCTTTGTTTTGTTTATGTCTGTGATGTTAGTATTTTGCTGTTGTTCTTTTTTTACTACTCTCTTTAAAATAAAAAAAATTTAAAATGTAGTAATCTCACATCTAAATACATTTCTTAGAAATTGTAAACATTTCTGAGCAAAGTGGCACACGCCTGTAATTGAAGCTACTAAGGAGGCTGAGGCAGGAGGATTACAAGTTCAGGACCAGCCCGAGCAATTTAGTGAGACCTTGTCTAAAAAAGGCAGCTGGAGATGTAGCCTACTCATAAAGCACCTGTTTAATGTGGTACTGAAAGAAAGAAATTGTGAAGTTTTCACTGAATTCAATAGGAAGAAATGGGGATCTGGAGAGGATATTAGCACTTCAGGAGCACCAGCAGGTTGGGCAGTGACACAGGTGGGGAAAGGTGGACAGAATTCACAGGAAGAGTAAAACGCTGTTAGCATGAAGCTCAAAGACTAAGCTTTGAGAAGCAAATTTGGATTAATTGCACTATGGAGGACTCTCGGTATGGGGTAAATAGGGTAGATTTTTAGACAGCAGAAGTTATTGAAAAGATCTGAGAAGAGAAGAGATATGGTAAAAGGTACACTGGGCCTCACCACCACTTTTCTGAGTGTTCTTTTTTTAGTTTAGTTTCCAACAATGACTGGGGTCCAAAATGCTGAGCAATTACATAGGTCTGAAGTTAGCAGATTTTTATCATGCTGAAGTCTAAGACTATATTAGTATACCTTTTGTTTATATCAATGGGCTAAATTTATGCAACTTACTTTCCACTGACAGCTATTAATCCAATATAAATAATAACTTTTAGTCATCTCTACTAAGAATCCTTGTAAATTATCTAAAGTCTTTTTACCAAAGCTACTCTTTATTAATGATGATTGTTGTATATTCTAAATCCAACATTAAAGTGTAAGCTCCCTGAAGGCAGGGGCAGTGTACTAGCTTCTACAATACATAAATCTGTGCTCATCATAAATATTAAAAAATTTGGAACGAATAAATTCATGGCATTAGGAAGTCTCTAGGTGGCCATCGACCTGTTGATCATCTTTCAGGATAAAACGTGCAAACCTTCCACAACCAAAACTTAACATATGTTTACATTAGCATACTCAATCTCACCAATAACACTCAGTCATAAATTACAAAATTGTCTCCAATTTGGGAAAAAAGAGGCATAGGGAGGTTCAGCAAAATTTCTAAACTTTCGTATCTAGGATTTAAGTTAAACATTCTGATATACAAGTTTGTTATTTTTCTTGATGTTGTGCTATTACCTCAAACAGTGAACTGCCAGTAAATTAGAAAGCTAAAGGAGAGACGCACTTTTACTTTCATGTATACAAAGAAAATTCACTAAGTTTTTGCATCAAATTACTTCTGGGCTCAATCCAATCATTTTCAGTCCTAGAGCAGTGGTGGCATCTTCAGGTGTCTGTCTCTCCTGATTATTTGCAGGTGGTGGGGAGCTGTAGCCTCACCTTCTGAAGCAGTGAGCTGCGGTCAGGACCCACAGGTTGCTGATCAGGACCCCTCCACAGCGGTGAGCACCATTAACCTGCAGACTGACTTGCCAGGGCCAGTCACCTGCCTCCGCTTGAGTGCCTCCGATGACTCGCTCTGCAGACAGTGTCATCAGGTCTGGACGGACCCCACATGCTAAGGAGAAGAGGGCATTAATGTGATAGGAGACAATGATTCACTTAACATTTTGGTTACCGCGGTAGACCTTCTTCAGCAGTTATGATTTTCTTTTATGTCTTTTCTCCCAGGATAAGCTAAATTGTGTGAGTACTATTGCCTATTGACTGAATTCTAGAGATTTATGAACTTAATTTACATGTGGGCTTCAACTTTTGTACAGCTTTGGAATGGTTTGGGATGGCTTGTGAGTAAGATATGCCCGTGCTAGAGATCCCATCTCAGGCCACAGACTCCTGGCAAATTTCTTTCCTCTTATTAGACTTGTTCCTCAAAATGTGGTCTGCAGCTCTGTAGCATGGGAACTCCCTGGGAGCTTGTGAAAAATGCTGATTTTCACACTCACACCAGGGAACAAATCGAAAGCTGCATTTTAATGAGATGCGTGGGCCCACTGATGTTGGGTGAAAACCAGGGAGCCTCCGGAGTGGTCTTGCAGTTCACTGTGGAGGTTCCAGTCCTCTCCAGCCCTGACTGAAGCTGACCAAACTGTGCTCGCAGCAGTAGGATATTCTCTAGAGTGGCTGAGGGGCTTTGTATTTATAATCTAGATTTATTTCTATTTTAAGAATCCCATGAACCCTCCAGTAATTGAAGTTGAACAGGAATGGGGAGAGCTAATCACTCAATTCCTCTTAATACTAATTTCTATGAATTTTTATTTTCAAGTCTACTACTCAGAAAATAGATGTAGATCACCAACAATTCATATCACTGGACTGGCTTTCAAGGAGCGCCCAGCTTCAGTAGGATACCCACTTAAAGGCATTTTTTTTTTCTTGTAAATTCCTCAATAGGGGACCAGGATTCCATTAAAAGTACATGGAGTCTTGGTTCCTAGGCTGCTTTCTGCAAATAAATTCCTTAGTGAATTATTTAAGCACAATTTTTTTTTTTTTGGTGCCGGGAATTGAACTCAAGACCTTGCACTTGCCAGGCAAGCACTTGTGCTGCTGAGCTAGATCCTCAGCCCCAATCAAGCATATTTTTATTCAAAATAAACCTGAGTTAAATATTAATAAAGTTGAAAAACATGCATGGGGCAGCACAACTCTGTAAAGTCACTTAAGCTTCTGAGCTAGGCCAAAATTACAGGTACACTGAAATACTTTCTAACTTTAATCTGTTGGCCAGAGAAGTAAATTGTGAATTTCTAGGAATTAGATCTCGGCTAGCCTATCCAGAGGATATATAAGATTGTGCTAGAACACAGTGACTTTTCTTCCAGGTGAGACTTTAAAAACTTGTTTTTTATTGTACCTTATTCTTAACCTGAATCCACAAAAAAGCATGCTATTCTGGAAGTCAGGAAAGGTTACATGAATGGTGTCATGAAATATATCTTACAACTCTACATAAATGCCATCATTGAACCAGGGAAGAACCAGAAAAGATTCCCCAAAATACCAAGAAAATGTCCATAGTTCAATCTTGAGTCCCTAGAGTGTGGTACTATGTTGCTACTTTAGGATTTCTTTTTTCTAAAAGGAACTGAAATAGCTCAGACATTACTCCATGGGTCAGCTGGATCAGCAGTCCTGTTCCAACAATGATCCGGCTCAGTGACCTGAGACTAAAGACATCAACTTCACAGACACTGCTCTGGCAAAGAGCACAAAGCAATTGTACTTTTGCCTCCTTATATTCTGGTGAAGAATATTTACAAAATAAATTCAAAACTTACCTTGAGTCAACATATTTTCAGTATCCTGGTCAGTTAATGCTAGAGAGAGAGAGAGAGAGAGAGAGAGAGAGAGAGAATAAAATCAACAAAATTCAGTTAAAATAATTTCTCCATGATATCTTAGAGTGCAGTACTCAGACAACCAGAGTAAGAATCACTGGGAGTGTGTGCTGAAACATGGATTCCTAGGCTCCTCATGTGCTGAAAGAAACTCTAGGCCATGTGCCTTAGAAATCTGTTTACAGCCTTGCCCCAATGTGTTGTTATGTACACTAAAGTTTGTGTTTAAATTGCTCATCAAATACTTAAAAGATTTCTTTACTCTCAAGTCCCTCAGTTTAGTTGGGAAAACAGAGGCATAAATAAGTCACTAAGTGTTATGGTTTGTGTCTTGATGTCCCCCCAAAGCCGCATGCAGTTTTAGGCTTTCTAGGAGGTGGCTGAACCTAGAGTATGTGATGCTGGGATTAAGCATGTGTGATTGCTAAATCAGTCCACTGATTGGTCTGGCACAGCCCTAATCCCAGTAGTCTAGACACAGTACAAAAGGGGAAGAAAGATGTTAAAGGCTCTTGTTGCTTTTGCTGTCTTCTGCCGCCACGAAGGGTTGCCCCTCTGCCATGTACCACCCTGCCTTGGAGCCAGCTGATTATGGACAGAAACCTCTACAAACTGTGAGCTAAATAAACCTCTCCTCCCTTAATTTTGGGCATTGGGTATTTTGTCTCAGCAAGGAGAGAAAAGTAACTTACATGCTGTGATATAGTATGATAAATATTGTAAGCGAAGTTAATTGTTCATTTATTAAAATATACCTATAAATATATATCAGTGTGTATATATATTACTATACTGATTATTTGAGATGCCAAAGACAAGAGTGTGCAAAATACAGGGGCTCTGCCTTCACATTATTTACATGTAGAATTAATCAAGGAACCATTCAAATAAATCCAAAAGCAGAGTGGAAGGGAGAAAAAAGAGAGAAACTCATTTTACCAGGGAGATTCACAGAAATTATCAATGGAAGAAATAACATTTGAGCCAGTGGAAATAAAGTTTGCTATATATTTTGAAAACCTAAAAGGAAAGTTTCAGGCACACAAGAGGGGAAAAGGCATTGCATGTGGCAGGTAGAGTGGGCCTACAGTGTGGCGTCCTACGGGGTTGTGCAGCATTGCTGCAGGGAAAGAGCTGGATGGGCCTGCAGAGAAGCCATAGCAGTATCAGACAGCGAAGGTCTGATGCTTCCAATTCAAGGTCTGCTTGCAGGACAGTTTTCTCTGTGTGCCTGGTAGTCATCTCAAGCTTGATGTAACCAAATTTCACACACAATTTACTACTTACCTTATTATAGTTCCTCAATGTCCCCTCACCCCCAGGGAGCTAGAAATCTTGATTGCTATCTTTCCCATAATTCTCACATGTCGGTCTCCAGGTTCTGTAACTTCTAACCCTGTCATCCTCACTACCCCTTTTGTTGCTACTTCACGCTTTCGTCATTGTACGCTGGCACTACTGTAATGACAAACTGACATTTTTAAAAACCAGTTTTTCAATTCCTCTACTTAGATCTTACCAGATTGATCTTTTCTGAAAATGTAAGCCAGAGCTATCTTTCCATGCTTGAAATATTTTAGTGAGAAATCAGTCTTCTGTTTCCACAAAATAAATTCAGACTTCTCAAGATAGATTTTCATGTGGTCTAAAGTCAGTCTATTCAAAGTTATCTCCAGCTAGAAATTTTCACAATGTTTAGGAGACATTTTCTTTGAAAGCATCAGTGGAATCAAGTTACTTTTGGGGAGCAGGAAACAAGAAGAGGTGAGCAGTCTGCACTCCTCTTTGTGCCAGAGAGGCTTGAATCTGAATTCTGAATGCCCACAAGCTGTTTTAGTTTGGGTAACTATTTATCTTTTCTAAATGGGGAGAGTAAAATTGTCTATGGGATATGGAGATTATGAGGTTTAAATAAAGGCATTAAAAGATTAAATAAAGGCACTTGAGGATTAAATAAAGGATTACACTAAAGCAATAAATAAAGATGCATACAGGACACTTAAAGCTATGCCTAAAAAACAGTCAGCACTCTTTCAATAAGTGCTTTGATAGCAATGCCAAAGGCGGCAATGGAAGTGATACCAATGAACTATTCCAGCAAACCTCCCTTCATTGTTCTGCCAAAACATCATGTTAATTACACATTATTTCTTTCTTTCCATGTCCTGTCCTCCTATCTGGCAATTTTCTTTCTCTCATCTCAAAATATGAGGTCCTACTCATACTTCAAAGTCCATCCATCTACCTTTTGCTGAGAGATACCAAACACTGGTCTTTTCCTGTCCTGGATTTCCTTAGTGGTCTTTTACACTGGGTGCTTGAGCATATATTCTCCGGATTTTCAGGTCTGTGATCTCCACTGCTGTCTTGGGGTGGGTTATATTTTGCCTCATCTAGATGAAGAGGTCCTGGGAGGTGGAAACCATACTGTCTAACACAATGCTGAACAAAATACAAGCACTCAGCAAGAGGTTTTGGAAGAATCTCCTAATGCACAGGAGCAGAGGTAACAGTCCCTTGGGCAGCAGTGAGTAAGGACACAACCAGGCCACAGACTATGGAGCAGTGTCTTGGAGGTCTTCCCAGTGCCAACTCCCTGGTTGCAAGGGGAGAAGTGAGGCCGGGGTGGAGAATGGGATGTAGGGGACAACTCCAGGGGCTTAATGCGGTGAGGATTTGTGAACACAATGGGACAGTGTTCCAATGTTTTAACAGCGAGTACTGCCCTAGAAGGGCCAATGTGGGAGCCTCGGGACTCCTTTTAATCTTAAACTCATTTGGAGGAAATTATGGCTTAAACTAGTATTAAATGGTCAAGTTGGAAGAGTGTCCTTTATTCTGTAATCTTTTTCTTTCAGTCATGCGACAGTTATGCACTGCATATCTTTTCTGTACTAGACCCTGGATGGCAGGACAGTAGGGTGAACACGACAAAGGGGTTCCTGCTTCTAGGAAGCTACCAGAGTAGGATGAAGCCAAACAGTATACAATATGCACAAACCATTTGTTACTTTTCGTTTTGATAAATGCTATCCAAAAAAAGAAGGAATCTCTCAGATTAATCATTAATTAAATGATTCTTTGACTTTGAGCATCTATTTACTTTTCCTATAGCAAGCGGGCATGAATACAGAGCAGGGGCTTTTCCTGTAGGGGGGTGGGCTAGTGGCTCTTTCTGGCTTTCTCAAGTTGGTCTATACCTATTTAGAATATCACTCCCTGATGTTTATCCTTAGGAAGTATGGAGGTGCTTTTATTTTTTCTTTTGTCTTGAACTCTGGCCCACGGTGGAGGTATCTGTCCCTCCTACAGTAGCAAGGAGTCTCACCTTCTCCACTGGCTCCTTTGAGGGCCTAGCCCTATCTGATTGTCTATAGTACTCCTAACTTCCATGAGGGAGCAAGGGTGAAGATCAATCTATCTACCTCCAGCTGAAGAGGGTCATACTTATGATTGGCCGTCCAAGATACTCCACAGAGGTCTGTCTAAAGGCCCTTGATAGACACCAGGTGTTCTTGTCTTAGGTAGACATACAGTTTTGAGTTTGGAGGAGACAAGTCCACAGAAACAACTAAATATACATGGGCCAAATAATAGAATCAATGGATAATTATGAATACAGTCAAAAAAGGTTTTCACCAAGAGGAGCCCATAGTGGCTTTCATAAAATGAATAAGGATAAGGTCTAGGGAATTTTAGAGTCTGACATACCATTGATTTGTCATCTAATATCTTGAATATCTGTTAAGATACTAGCAGAAGGATCAGGAATGTACACACAACATTCAGTTGTTACAACTGCACATGTACCCCCCTGTGTTGCTATTAGAAGGTCTAATGCCATCTGATTTTGGAGGTCAGCTTGCCTCATTAATTTTAATTTTTTATTTAAGACAGGGAGACCAGCTTCAGTATAGTTAGCTAAGGCCTTAATGTGTGTCATACAACCCTTTCTCTAGACAAGATCTGGTGGATCGTGGTAAAAGGAATCTAAAAATAAATCTAGCATATTTGTTACTGGTTTTATCTCTGAGATAACTTGGGGTTTGGCATTCTCTAAGCAAGAATGAATTTTTCAAGAAATTAGAGCATGTATAATAAAAGCATGAGCATTAGAGCTGACAGGTAAGTTTAGAAACTGTTTTTAAGGGAGAGCAATTGTAACTCACTGGCTCTTAAATCCCTTTACTGATGGAGTCTGATATTTTGTCATACATCCCTCTAGCTTTAGTTATAATTATCTCTAAAATTTTGATGACTTATGAGAAACAGATTAACACATTATTTTAACCAGTGAAAACTCTTAAGTTTTTGTATATGAGCAACACTATGTATTGCATTTGTAAAAACCAGTCTCAGCACCATTTTGATTAGTTTGCAACCTGGATATATATATCTTATTTATTTTATACATCTCAGTTATTTGACAGGATAAAATCTCTCCAGCATGGGAGAAGGGCTTTTAGACATAACTAAAAGGAACAGGTGACGAGAATGTTATCCCAGTTACAGCTTAAGCCAGATATTTTTTGGTGACTGCTTTTATTGAGGTACGATGACTGGAAGGAAGGTCAGGGGTGGAAAAGGAAAAAGGGACTTGTGCCAGTGTGCAGCAACAGACTGTTTTTTCCCCTCTAGTGATGATTACTCAGGGTTCCTCCATGGAGATGACAGGTGGAGGTGATAGTCTGTCCAGAGGGAGGAGGCGGAGTGCTCCAGGGCACTTTAGTCTTGCTAGACCAGCTGGAAAGAGGAGTCTGAGCTGTGGGACCTCTGTCTCAGGGTGCAGTCTCACTTCCAGTGGCAGCCTTTCCAGTCAGGGCATGGCTTGGGGGGCCCTCTTACTGCAATCCCTCTTAAGGTGGCCTGGCTTTCCACAGTAGTAGCAGTGGAGCCTAGTCATCAAGCTCTTCTTGGGCCCTGAGAATCAGACTTAGGGCCTGTTTTTCTTAAGGCCACAACAAAGGCAGCCACTTTCTTGGTCTCTTTGTTTTTTCTCATTGGCTTTCTCCCAGTTCCTATTATAGAATACTAAGGAGGCAGTTTTTACTAAAGTATCACATGAACTATCTGGAGTAAAAGCTATCTTTTGTAGCTTTTAAAAAAATATCTCATGCTGACTGGGTAATAAATGTGTCTTTAAGTATAATCTGTCCTTTTATTGAATCAGGAGCTAAGGACATATGTTATACCAGTGTCTCTAGCAAACAATCTAAAAAGGCAGAGGGTTTTTACCTTTCTCCTGATAAATAGCCAACAATTTAAAATAACTAGAGGGATTGGTGTTTGTCCTTAAACCTTGAAAATGTCTCCTGCTCCAATCTCTTGTCGGGGTGCTAGGCCAGCAGGGGTCTTGGGTAGGGACTGCTTGGGCCCCAGTGGGAACTGGTAGTTTCCATGGCTGTCTATCTTCTGAGTGTTTAAAATTAATAATATGACATTTATCCCCAAATGCAATAGCAGCTTGTAATGCTGCTTATCTCTCATTAGAAGTCAATGTTTGATTTAAGATTAACATTATATCTTTTGTAGCCCAACTTATAGGTCTGAGTAAATTCTCTGGAGACATCAATGTACTTATCAGGGTCGCCTGAAAATTTTCTTAGTTCTAGCTTAATCTGATTTAAGTCACTGAGAGAAAGAGACATGCATGTAGGTAGTCTCATATGGGTTATAATTATACTTTGAGCATAAATAAGAATTATTTCTTAGTGTAAAGAAAGTTTAAACAAGGTAATTCTGACCATTTTTTTCTTTGTTACAGTACATTTTAGTTGTAAAAATTTTAGCTGTAACTAATACTTCCCTTTGCTTTCCATTTTGGCTCTAGAGGATTGGCAGGCCACATGTGTGTTCACAAAAATATCAAACAGTTCTTAACACATAAAAGTCAAACATCTTCCAGTGCTTAAGAAGGCATTCTAAAGAAGTAAGAGACTTTGACTTTGAGCGCCCCATGTCTCATCCAGTGATCTTGGTGGAAGACCTCCAAATGATATAGAGGAAAGAAACTCCCAACATGCTAGATGTCTGGTATGAGTTAGTGTTCTCTAAAATTAAAGAATGAATTTGAGGAAAAATGGAAGTTAAGGGTAGAATATATTTATTGGGGGAAAGAAGGCTTCTGTGTGAGAGACAGAAGGATTCCTGAGTAGGATGCCCGAAAATGAATTTTCAGCAAGTAAAGTTTAATATATGAATACTAAATTAACCTTTACATCTTAGAATGCTTTATGTCATCCCAGTTAGGATGGCTCTAACCAAAAAGATAAAATGTTACGAGTGTTGGTGAGGATGTGGAGAGAGGGGAGCCTTCATGAACCACTGATGGGGAAGTAAATACATGTAGCCATAGGGAAAACAGTGTGGGGTGGCTCAGAAAATGGGAACTAGAACCACCACATAGATTTAGTGAGTTCACTGCCTGTGTGTATCCAAAGGCATTGCGATCAGCTGTTAAAAACATGTGCATGTCATGTTTCTCGCAGCGCTGTTCACAACAGCTAAACATGTAATCAGTTTAGGAGACTATCAATGGAAGAATGTGAAACAACAATGGTTTAGACACACAATGGAACATCATTCAGCCATAAAGAGAACAAAATCCTGTCATCTGCAGCAACATGGATTGACTTGGAGGATGTCGTGTTAAGTGAAAGTAAGTTGGGCACAGAGGAAAGAAATCACATGTGTTCTGACATATAGGCAGGACCTCAAAAGAACCCCAGAAAATACAATAGTGATTACCAGAGCCTGGGAAAGATGGGGGAAGGAGAGAGGACGGACAATGGGTTTGGGGTGCAATGGATAGGCGGAATAAATTCTAATGTTTTGCAGCATGGTTACTATGATTGATAGCAATAACTGAGTATTTCAAATTAACAAGTAGTGAGGATTTTACAGCTCCCCAACACAAAGAAAAATTATGTATCTGGTAGAACTCCAGTTGCCTTGATCTAATTATTGCATATTGTATACACGTATTAAAATATCACTCTACCCTGTAAATATGTACAATCACTATGTGTCAATTAAAATGAAAGCACAATTACAGTGCTCTCAAATTTTCCCCATGCAGCCCTGACACACTAGGCCAAACATTATTATTACCATTTCACAAAGTAGAAAATTGAAATAAAGAATACTCTTCAATTCTAACCTCTAAATTTGTTGCCATTGCTACAGTCCTTAAAGGATCCATTTAAGCAATTTCAATAAGAAAGTGTATTTACATATCCACTGAGTTTGCCTTTTCACTTTGTTAGACGTGTTAGAGTCAAAGCAAGTTGAAATGTATTGTCTATATCTGGACACTAGGTATTAGACTTCCCTCCTTCCATGTTGAAATTATTCCATTTAAGAAGAAAGTAGTATATTTTAAAATATACATAACTATTGAAAAGCAAAAAAACTTCATATGTTTTTCATTAGAGAGCTAAATATAATTTTTATCTTTTTAATATAGTTTGGAAAAAGTTTAATTCCAAAGAAAGAAAGTCAGTCTCTCATCTAATCAGTAAACTTGAGGGATGTATTGAAATAAAATGATATGAAAAAATGGTACTTGCTTGTTATCCCGGTTGAAGGGCTTATTTCCAGGTTTCCAGAGTTATTCAGCACTTGTTGTAAAATAGACTGAACTCTGCTTTTCATTGATTCTGCATTGCTACGTCTACTGAATCGAAACTTCATGACGACATCTGCCATCACATTGCTACCCTCTTGCCTGTAAATCATAAAAGTATAAAGTGAGGAAAACGCTAACAACCAAAAATAAAGAATTTGATCATTATGTACTCTCCACGAGAATGCTCAACGGGCTTCCATTTGGTAATTTCACAGAAACTGGAGATAAGGCCTTGGTCTAGTGCAAAATATAGAGTTGAACTGGAGGTCTCAGAATAGGGCCAGAACTCTCAAACATCAACCTTATGATGTGTGGATTCTCATTGACACTCTCTGTATTTCCCATGATCTTTAAGCTAAAAAATGAAAGAAAACCCCAGGAAAACAAAAAACAGTACACACTCTTCTGATTCCCTTACAGCATCTCACAAAATCAAATATTCTGGAGGAGAGTGTGGTTTTTTTTTTTTTTTCTGGTACTGGGAATCAAACTCATGACCTTGTGCTTGCCAGGCAGGCGCTGTGCTGCTGAGCTAAATCCCCAGCCCCCCAGAGGAGAGTGTGATAGATCTACTCTGCATAGGATCCTGCTTAGAAAATGGGATTAAGATTTAACTGTTATGGGTTGTGCAGCTATAAATAGTGGTAGGCATGAATCACTATAATGTGATGTCTTTATCAAATAAGTGAGTACACATATACACAATAGCATACTGCTTTCTCATAAGGAAGGATACATTTAAGTTATTTTTAGGGAAATGGATCCCCTTTGAGACTATAAACCAGACATAGAAGGCTATATATTGCATGGTTTCTCTTATATGAGAAACCCAAAATATGAATAATTTAAAATGCAAAATAAAAGATGGAAGCTGACTTTGTGGAGATGAGAAGAAGGTTGGGGAGGGGGCTGAGGGGAGGAGAGTGGAGAAGTAAAGGTGCAAGAGAATTATGATGTGGTATGTGTATGTACCGATTCCTCAACATAAGTATATTTATTACATATTGCAAACATACACAGTACTAATAGAAATGGAATTAAGTGTATAATTCCAATGAAAAGTAGTACATCAAGAGCTAAAGTCAAATGAACAAGAGCATCTTCATGAATGCCACACACTAGAATTTATTGATGAGTACATTTGAAATGATTAATGACATAAAAGAAGGAATCATAAGAATGAGAACAGTAGAAGTTGTAATAGAAAATACCAGATAGGGGCTGGGGATTTAGCTCAGTGGCACAGCGCCTGCCTGGCAAGCATGAGGTCGTGAGTTCAATTCCTTAAACCAGAAAAAAAAAAAAAAAAACCAGATAAATTTTCAAAAGAAATAGAGCTCACAGGTAGGAAAACATACTCACTGACAGGAGTTATACTCAGGAAAGTGAATAAATGGGTACAGAAAATAATCGAAGCTGAAGATAAATTAACTGGAAGATGGAAAAGAAGAAATTACACAGAATCGACAGGTAGAGAAATTACACAGAATTACACAGAATGTACAGGTAGAGAAATGATAAAGATCAAAGAAACATTAAGAGAAACAAAGAAGGTCAATGTATTAGGGGAGATGAGAACTACCCAGTACTGATGACCACGTGAGGCCCAGATGGCAGTGAGTCTGAAGCACAATAGGTAAAAGAAAATTCACACACAAATATGAGGCATGATAAACTATACAGTGAACGTTCAAATTCAAAAACTGTTATAGCAAAAGATATGCTGCCATTAATCCCTCAAACTACTACTCCTTGCTTTGAGCACACCTATCCCATCATTCTCATCACTTTCTTGAGTGTCTTTAGATAAAATAAAAAATACAGTGAGTTCTGCTGCTGAGAATTAATGGAAAGATCAGAACATAGAAGCATTGCTGTGCGTCTTCATCCACCTTATTCACTGGATGTGGCCCTCTGCAGCTTCCAGTGCTGCCCAAAGTCAAAATGACCATGAAAGCTCAGTTCTTCAATTGGCTCAGGACATTGAGCCAGCCATGCCGACTCACCTGAAGACACACAGAAGACGACTTTCACACTCGCATTAGAAAGTGATGAGGGCAGTGGTGTGTTTTCAAAGCAGCAGAGAGTACTTTGATGGGAATTAATTGTAATGTATCTTTTACTGTAATACATTTTTTAAAATTTAAACATAAACTGTATTTTTGATTATACTTTAGATATAACAAAACTTTGAACTCCAAAGACAAGAAGATTTCTCAAACAGTGGAGAAAAGACTTGCTTCCAAAGAACATATTGATAGATTTCTTAACAACAATGGGAGACAGTTTGCAATTATATCTTCAGGGTGCTGAAAGAGAAATAGCTATGAACTTAGAATTTTATAAATGCACTAGATTATTGAGAATGAGGCTGTAGTAAGGCCATCTGCTGGATTAAAAAACAACCGAGAGTTTACCACTCATTGACTGCTATGAAAAATCTATGAAGGAAATGCTTCAGTAAGAAGGAAATAGAACACAGGAATAATTCGAGGTATAACAATAAGAAACACAATATAGCAAAAAATAGATGATCTGAAAAGACATAGGCAGTTAAAGATAATTATAATGACTGATTTGAAGGCATTAAAAATAGGGTAAAACATTGTTAAGATAACATGAAAAACTATTACAAGTGCTGTATATTATTTGGAACAAGTGTGCATGATTAAGCTAGTTCTCCTTGTTCATATTTTACTGGTAATCACTAAAATAAAATAGAATAGATAATTTCTAAACTAGTAAACAAAAAAGCAAATGGAGAAAACTCTGTCATACAGATGAAGGCAGGGCAGTGGAAAAAAAGCACAGAAAGATCCAGATAAAGAACACACACGAATATGGAAGAAATCCATCCACTTGTAATGTTGATGGCAGGAAATTATACATCAACTGGACTTGCTGGTTAAAGGCAAAGATGGTTAGGATGCACTGGAAAACATTGATCTACCTGTCTGCTCTCAGTAGGAGAAATATCTAACTTATAAAGACACACACATTTTGAAAATAAATGGCTAGAGATGCATTAAACAAATAGTACTCGTAGAAAGCTAACACAGCTATATTAATGTCAGGTATCATTTTTAATGTCTTTGCTTTGTGTTGTTTGTATTTTGCTATTATTCTTTTTTTGTACTATTTTCTTTAAAATAAAATAAAAAAAAGAAAAAAGTTAATTAGGAATAAAGAGAAGTAAAAAAAGTCTGGATAAAAAAGTAATTCATGAGGAAATTACAACAGTTCTAAAATTTTAAGTACCTAATAATATTTCTTGAAAATATACCTAGCAGAGAGAAACTGACAATCTATAACGGTAGATTTTGTGTGAACAATATATTTATTAAACTTAATGGGAAGGAACATAATTTATTATCCAGAAATAGACTCACAGACCTTTGTAAACAATGTTACACAGAAGCACTACCATAAATGGAAGAAACATTGGTTGTGTGGAAAAATTAAATCAAATCTTTGCCACATAGTATATACAAATTTAAAATCTGCATATGAACATCAAAAATGTAAAACTTTAACAAAAAATATGGGAGAATAAATACTTAAACATTTGGAACTCAGAAAGTGGGAAAATAATTGGTACCTATAGTAAGGAAATAACTTGCCAGTGGTCATGCGGCTGATAGAATGAGCACTAGGATTTACACTGAAGTGGTTGGAATCCAAAGCCCATATGCTTTACTGCTGTAAAAGTAAAATTAGAGAATATCATTCAACCACTGGTTAGTAAGAACTCGTTAAAGCCTGACTGTGTCGTAATGTTAGTGACAGGGTCTCTCATACACTGGGAGTTAAGGTGCAAATTTCTGCAACCACGTTTGTGGGCCCTTCATCCATACCTAGTAAAACTGAAGATCCTCAAACCTCAGCATCTGGAAGCTGCACTTTCAGATAAACATTTTCATGTCTGCCTGTGTAAATAATGCTTATGTAAACAATGCTTATTGTAGAATTTTTAGGAAGTCAAAAAATGAAAAAATATTAGTACTCATCAAGTGTTGAATGGATGAATAAACTGCAGTGTATTCATCCAGTAACATGATAAAATGAAGGAATATGCAACAGTTAAATCAACTAGGCTTAGCTGTATTAATGGGAGTTCACATAAAAATGATTTGAATAAGTTTGTGGGAAGATACTGTACAACCTTATTTATGTAGTTGAGTCTTTCCAAATAATTTTATATGTAAGGTTTGGATGTATTTATAAATAGGAATGTATAGGAGCATACATGAGAAAATCATTTTTGTTTTTTTGGTTTTTCTCCGGTACTGGGAACTGAACTCACGACCTTGCGCTTGCCAGGCAGGCGCTTTTGCTGCTGAGCTAAATCCCCAGCCCAAGAAAATCATTAAGGAATCCTCTTCTTTTACATTCAACATCAGTCTTGTCAAAGCTCCTTAGAGATTTATGTGGAATCTCATTTATTTTGCCATTATCAATGGCATTCTAGTAAAGGGCACCAAACTCTCCATTCTACTTTACTGCATTTCCTCCTAAGGGGTCTCATGCTTTGAGGAGTCTTACCCCTCCAATTTATGCTCCACACAGCTGTGCAGTGATCCTTTGAACTGTTAAGTTGAACTGTGCTACCTCTGTTTCACGGCTTCCATCTCACCCAGAGCAAAACCCAGAGTCCTTTGTCTTGGCCTGGAAGGCCTGCGTGATCTTGTCTTTGGTGAGATCTCTGACTATGACCATGTCCATCGAGCATTTGTAGCTACTACAGAAGACTTGACACAAAAGTCCTAAAGGTGATAGGAGCTCACTGAAATGTGTTTTGGAAGATATCCTTCCCAGAGACTCTTCCAGCTGCCTTAAATCCACATCAAAACTTGTTTGACCAGCATGCTATGCTCAATTTTCGTGATGTCAGTACTTGAGAAAGAATTAGTGTAATTGCTCTCCCAGCCAAAGATGTTTTGTGTATTATTTGAAGGATTGAGCAATGCAGGCACTTAAGTCTTTGTGGGAGGGTCAGTCACTGTGACTATTTTGATCAGGAGGGCCTGTTTCATCACATCCCATGGACAGGTGCATACTTAACTAAGGCAGGGATGGTAAATAACTAGCACGCATGCTGCTACTCCTCCTGTTATTAGCCTGTGACAAGCATGACATAGATTTGGCCGCAACATCCTTTTATTATAGCATTCCAGGAGGATGAGACCAAAAACCACTGCTGATGCTGGTGACGGTGTCCTGTTCTTGGATGAACAGGCAGAAGGCCACAGCATTGCACAGTTCTGAGGCACTGCTTACAGGGCACATTGTGAACGATATCCACGGCGTTTACATGGTCGGATGGTGCTATTACTGCACCTTGACTCCAGTTTTCCTTTCACTCGTTCTTCTTTTTCCCATTAATAACTGAGGCAAGTTGGTCATTTAATTAGTAGCTAAAATAAATCAAATATGAAGTTTTGGGCATTGTTTTTCAAGCTGCTCAGGATTCTCCTCTTATGTTATCACAAAGTACATGAGCATGTTGTTTATAACCCATGCTGTGGACCAAAGCCAAATATGCCAATTTGCATCTTACCTCCCATAGCTTTTGAGACCATTTCACTCACCTCAGTCTGACAACATGGGCTCTGATAAACTGATTTCCTAAATTTGACTGTTGGAATGCATTAGTAATCTGTAGAAAGAAGGGAAAAATGTTTTTGTGAATCGTTCTTTCTTTCCTTTCTCCCAACCTTACAACATGGACTTTTATTAATGAGTAGAGACTCAAATGTTTTCTTGAGTTCGTCTCAGTTCCAGTATTGCTATTGGCTTTCTGTAGAACATATCCAGTGATTGGTGGAAAATCAGTGACCAATGCTTAAAGACTGCACCCACAGGACAGGGGGAAGGTAGTAGGCTGCACAGACTCAGGGTATTTAGCTTGCTGTCAGAATGTTAATGAATTATTCAAACCTTTTCCTCTCAATTTCTTTATCTGTAAATGGAGTGCAGTTAAGGGTACTAAAATAGTTGATCTGTTTCTGCTATTACGGAGTCTATGCACCTTATTTTTTGTAAGCTTCATGTTCAATCTTGGGTTCCCACCTTCCAAAATTATTAATCTGTTAAAATGGGATGACTTTCACACCCATTTGACTTTGTAATCTGTACTGTTGAATGTTTATTACCATAGATAAACACCAAGGAAACAACGCAAAAAGAAAACTATTTCATTCTTTTTCCTAATTGAGGGTGATAATACTGTTTTTTATCTCCTAAATCAATCTAGAATTCTCCACCTCAGTAAAATCCATCATCAATTAATACTGAAATGAAGTATGGACTGTTTAAGTTCTCACAAATTTAACATCATTAAATCTGTTAATGGAACAAATCATATAAATGGTAAAACATTAAATGTTTATTATTTATGTATTTATAATATTTAATATCTATAATTGGTCTATATTTTTCACCCTTCTTGGGAAAAGATTCCATTAGTTGTCTGTGAATATATCAGATAAATCACCTCCTTTAGTGTTTTATTATTTGATGTTTTAATTTGTCACATAATTTACAAACTGAATAATAAGAATAATGTTTTGTGATCATATTTACTATCAATTTATAACTTTTTTCTACTTAATTTAATCACATAATCCAGAAAGGTCAGTCTTCAAGGAAAAGAAATAAGATATGTGGTAGAACAATCTATTACTGCACTGGTTTCCAAATATCTTTGATTATGCAATCTTACGGGTAAAACACTTTATACATGAATAACCAAAATAGACAGTATATATTAATAAATTATATACATGTAACAATACTGTACTAACAATGCACATTATAAAACTTTTACAAAATTGGAAGTAAAAAGGACTAAATTATAAAACAAATAGTGATTTTATTATATATTTTAATAATAATACTTTCAGGGTTATAATCTTACTGTATAGAATTTATACTTTTTAAAACACTGTCATAAAATGATGCAAAAGTCTGATTCTAGGTTTAATTTCAATACTCAATTTTAAGTGCTGAAAAAGTTTTCAGATAACTATGTAATTTCAGATGTATGAAATGTATCATTGGTAGAACTTAATAAATCATAATACTAAGTTGTCAGTTATATCCACTACACAAAGATTTTGTTGAAATTCAGCAAGAGGTTTTTCATTTTATATCATGGCAATTGGTTTTCCTTGCAAGCCAAATGAGAAGTGATATATATAAATATAACATATATATGTTTTATATATATAATATATTTATTAAAAAATGTGTTCAAACCTACTGAACATGATAGTTAATTCTTCCTCTCAAATTATTATGTATGCAGGCCTAAAACTCTTATAAATAACACACTTTACATCATTTGCAATAAAACAAACACCTTATCAACTAATGACAGATACACTGCTAAACATATTTTCAAAGTTTTCTCTCCATAGTGTTTTATTTCAAAAGCTATTGATTTCTCACATTTATACCCTGAAGGAACAGGTGTTGTGTGTGTACGTGAATGTGTGTGTGTATGTGTGTGTGTGTGTGTGTGCATGACATGTGTACAGGGTTTGTGATCTTCTCAGAAGCACCATCACTGGCTGGCATTGCTTTACCCAGCGATAAGGCTACAACTGAGAGGAGGAGAGGTGTCAGTTTTCCCATTATCTTTCTGTGCATTGACTCACTCATTATTAGGTTTGGATAATAGGGTTATTTTCAAACTTCAAGACTGTAAATTTGTTTCCGCGGGTGGCACATGAAGCTTTTAGAGCTTATTGTAAGTTATAGGAAACCCCCAAAGTGTTTTAGACAAGAGGAAAACATAATCAGATTTGCAATTTCTCTTGCTGAACGTGCACAGTTTCAAGGGAGAAATAATGGAAATGGCCAAGTCAGTTTGATGCTACTTTGCTCTTTGACGGTAGAGGTGTGGCTTAGATAGACGTGGTGGCAGCAGACATGGGGAGAAGTGCGTGGATTTCGGTTAACCTCAGGGATAAAATCTACCAGGGTAATGGGTGAGGTATTTGGCAGTGCAAGGATGAGTCTAGCTTTCCAGCTTGGAGAACTGGATAAATGGCATTGTCATTAACATGGACAGGGATTATTGGAAGGAAGCTAGTGTGGTGTGGGAACATCGTGAGTTTGATGTTGAGTCATAACGTATCTGAAGTGTCCTGAAGTAGCCAAGCAGAGATATGAAGCTGGCAGGTAGGTGAAAGGCTCGGAGGTGTAGAGGTGCAGGGCCTGCTAGAGGAGCAGTGCATCATTGGTATATAAGTGGTGCTGAGGTAAGGGGAACAGATATCACCAAGAAAGAGAACACAATGTGAGAGGAGAGGAAGGTCAAAGCCTCGGGGAATTTTAACCTTTGTTGGCAGCGTGCAGGAGGGGAGCGTCAGGCCACAGACAAGGAATGATCAGAGGGGTAGGGTGAAAACTGGGTGAACGAGTGGCATGGAAATCTCCTGAAAATCACAAAACTGTGGGCTCTTTCAGTGAGAATGTACAACAAAAATCCATCTACTACTACTATTTCATTTTACTGATGAACCGAGGCTCTGAAAAGAAAAGTGAATTGCTTAATACAACAGAAAGTTCTGAGAGGACTGCCCATCCAGTGTTACTGCGTTTTCTACTCCCGGGATAATGGTGCTGCCTGAGACCTCTGGAGAATGACAGGACACCAGGGTCCAGGAAGCCGTGGCTTGATTCCTGTCCTACACAGAAAGAGCATTGAATGTGTTTCTTCGTCTCACAATTCTTATTTATCCGTCTGTACAGATGACATATGAATTCCTATAGCTACTGTGAAGTAGATAGGCTATCCATGTGAAAGTGTTTTATAATCTATAAAGCACTATACTATTTTTCACGTAATGTTTAAATGTCTTAAATGTTTATCATTTTGTAGCAGGATAACTATATAACACTAATGAAATCATATACCAGAAGAATTTCCATGGAAATCTTGAAATATTAACTACACTGTCAAACCATAGTGTGCTAAAAATACTGGCACTACTGCAGAAATTAATCTGTGAAGTACAGATTAGAGTACAGGAAAAGAAAAGGAAGAATTTAGCGTATCACAAAGGCAATATGATGGATACACTAAGCACACTATTTTGAAGCTATCATCTAGCTATTTTGGGGGAAAGTTTCAATATATTAGTAACAAAAATTCTAGATGAATTAGAAATAAAAGTATAAAGGGTAGGTGTGGTGGAACATGCCTGTAACTCCAGCCCTTGGGATGCTGAGAGAGGAAAATTGCTGGGAGTTTGAGGTCAGCCTGGACATCAAAGTGAGCTCAAGGCCACCCTAAACTGCACAGTGAAACCCTGCCTCAAAAAGACTAAAAGGAAAAAGAAAGAAAAGAAATAAAAATATAATGATTAAAAATAGAAAAACAAAATGTGCGTGAACATTTAAAGAATATTTGAGGTAGAGAAAGACATTCTTCAATTTTTTCTGTTTTGTCTTTTTTTTTTTTTTTTTTTTTTTTTGAGACAGTTTCGCTATGCAGTTCAGGCTGGCCTTTAACTCACTGTGTAGTTTAGGTTGCCCTCAAACTTGCAGTGATCCTCCTCCCTCAGCCTCCTGAGAAAGACATTCTTAACTTGGGATAGAAATGAGTATTCAAAAAAGAGTTAATAACTTTGGCCATATAAAAAGTAACTCAAACCAAGCATGTTGGTACACCCCTGTAACGCTAGCACTTGGAAGTCTGAGGTAGGAGGATCACCATGTCATAGTGAGATCTTGTGTGAAAACAAAACAAAGAAACAAAAGAAGAAAAGCTAAGCAAAACAAAATAAAGTAAATCTTCTATTTGGCATAAAACTACATTATAAACAATATTAAAAGCTAAATCACTGAGTAGAGAAATTATGTGCACCATGAGTAGTAGATAAATTTAGTATATTAATAAACATTTTTGCAAGTTCATATTAAAAACTAAGGGCTCCAATTAAAAAAAAACAGGAAGATTTTGAGCAACAAATCATAAATGAAATTATAAAAATAAGCTATTAGTATGTAGAAACATTAAATCTCACTTGTGATTAAAGACATGCAAACTCTAACAGTAATGAGTTATCATCACTCATGTGATGATTTAACAATAACTGAAACCTTTTTACAATGCCTAGTGTCAGTGCTGCAGGGAACTCTGTAGTGCAATCTGGAAAGCGAAATAAACATTTAATTCAAACTGCGTGGGAAATACTTCAATCAACAACTGGGACCTCATCTCATTAAAAAGCATTTGCACATCAAAAGAAATCACCAACAGAGTGAAATGACAACCCACAAATTGGAAAACTTTTAGCCATTGTCCCTCAGACAAAGAACTTATATCTATAACATGTAAAAATTGACAAAAAATCAGAGCTCCCGGATTCAAAGACCCAGTCCAAAAATGGGCATCTGAGATGAGTAAGCACTTTTCAGGTGAAGAAATACAAATTGCAAATAAATATATGCAAAAAATGTTCAGTATCATTGGTCAGTCAAGAAACACAAATTAAAACAACACTGAGAGTCCATCTCACCCCAGAAAGAGTGGCTATCATCAAGAAATAAACCAATAACAAATGCTGAAGAGGCTGTGGGGAGAAAGGAACTCTTCTCCACTGTTGGTGGGAGTGTAGACTGGTGCAACCCCTGTGGAAATAAGTA